TCTGGCCACTACTGCTAGTATGTTTACAGTACAAAACTCTGGCCACTACTGCTAGTATGTTTACAGTACAAAACTCTGGCCACTACTGCTAGTATGTTTACAGTACAAAACTCTGGCCACTACTGCTAGTATGTTTACAGTACAAAACTCTGGCCACTACTGCTAGTATGTTTACAGCCAAAACTCTGGCCACTACTGCTAGTATGTTTACAGTACAAAACTCTGGCCACTACTGCTAGTATGTTTACAGTACAAAAGGACGTTGCTGATTACAGACCAGAACCAGATCAGTCAGTCGGGGAAACATGCTCAACTGACTTAAATCATTCAACTCAGAAAAATGAACTTGAACTTTAAAACAAATTAATAGTAAATAAAGATAACAGTATAACTTACCATACTTTTTAAAAACAACCTTTTTCCGTTTCCCTACCAGTAGGAGGAAGTTCAAACTTTATTTATTTATGTACATAAGAATAATTATACGATGCATGCTTTTTTTTGTATCTAAATTTTGATTTTTTCCCCCCTAGATAGCATGGAAATTTATTGCTCACCTGTTGTTCAATGCTGTTAATTGGTAAACTTATCTATAGTAGTCTAAAGTTTATAACACATTTGACTTTTGAGACCTTGAAGTAGGTTAAGGTCAGTCTTTCGAAACAACTTGATAGCATGTTATTGGCCAAATAAATCATCTTTGTTTTCTAAAATGTCTGACAAATAAGCATTGGTGCTGGGTGACAGATAACAGATGCGTTGACATGCCATAAGCTCTCTTGCCCTTCAATTCCTGTTTAGGCAAGAGAGCTGAAAACTAGCTAGTTGGGTAATGACCATTGTTGACATGTTAACATACAAAGCTACCCAAGAACTCACCATTCTCCCCAGTGATTCTGTTGTTAAACTGTTTGAGAAGTTCTTCCACTTCCTGTCAAAAGTAAAGAGTCAGATTGTTTAGCATTGTAGTTAAAGGGTGAAACAAACACAATGAAAAAAAAACCACATTGTGATATGGCCCTGGCAATACAATATATAAAACACATTCAACAGGAATCTCACAAACAATATCACACACATTGTCTCTGCTGTTATGATGACAGATCCAGTATACACACAAACAATATCACACACATTCTCTCAGCTGTTATGATGACAGATCCAGTATATACACAAACAATATCACACACATTCTCTCTGCTGTTATGATGACAGATCCAGTATATACACAAACAATATCACACACATTCTCTCAGCTGTTATGATGACAGATCCAGTATATACACAAACAATATCACACACATTCTCTCAGCTGTTATGATGACAGATCCAGTATATACACAAACAATATCACACACATTCTCTCAGCTGTTATGATGACAGATCCAGTATATACACAAACAATATCACACACATTCTCTCAGCTGTTATGATGACAGATCCAGTATATACACAAACAATATCACACACATTCTCTCAGCTGTTATGATGACAGATCCAGTATATACACAAACAATATCACACACATTCTCTCAGCTGTTATGATGACAGATCCAGTATATACACAAACAATATCACACACATTCTCTCAGCTGTTATGATGACAGATCCAGTATATACACAAACAATATCACACACATTCTCTCAGCTGTTATGATGACAGATCCAGTATATACACAAACAATATCACACACATTCTCTCAGCTGTTATGATGACAGATCCAGTATATACACAAACAATATCACACACATTCTCTCAGCTGTTATGATGACAGATCCAGTATATACACAAACAATATCACACACATTCTCTCAGCTGTTATGATGACAGATCCAGTATATACACAAACAATATCACACACATTCTCTCAGCTGTTATGATGACAGATCCAGTATATACACAAACAATATCACACACATTCTCTCAGCTGTTATGATGACAGATCCAGTATATACACAAACAATATCACACACATTCTCTCAGCTGTTATGATGACAGATCCAGTATATACACAAACAATATCACACACATTCTCTCAGCTGTTATGATGACAGATCCAGTATATACACAAACACTATCACACACATTCTCTCTGCTGTTATGATGACATATCCAGTATATACACAAACAAAATCACACACATTTTCTCAGCTGTTATGATGACATATCCAGTATATACACAAACAATATCACACACATTCTCTCAGCTGTTATAATGACAGATCCAGTATATACAAACAATATCACACACATTGTCTCTGCTGTTATGATGACAGATCCAGTATATACACAAACAATATCACACACATTGTCTCAGCTGTTATGATGACAGATCCAGTATATACACAAACAATATCACACACATTCTCTCAGCTGTTATGATGACAGATCCAGTATATACACAAACAATATCACACACATTCTCTCAGCTGTTATGATGACAGATCCAGTATATACACAAACAATATCACACACATTCTCTCAGCTGTTATGATGACAGATCCAGTATATACACAAACAATATCACACACATTCTCTCAGCTGTTATGATGACAGATCCAGTATATACACAAACAATATCACACACATTCTCTCAGCTGTTATGATGACAGATCCAGTATATACACAAACAATATCACACACATTCTCTCAGCTGTTATGATGACAGATCCAGTATATACACAAACAATATCACACACATTCTCTCAGCTGTTATGATGACAGATCCAGTATATACACAAACAATATCACACACATTCTCTCAGCTGTTATGATGACAGATCCAGTATATACACAAACAATATCACACACATTCTCTCAGCTGTTATGATGACAGATCCAGTATATACACAAACAATATCACACACATTCTCTCAGCTGTTATGATGACAGATCCAGTATATACACAAACAATATCACACACATTCTCTCAGCTGTTATGATGACAGATCCAGTATATACACAAACAATATCACACACATTCTCTCAGCTGTTATGATGACAGATCCAGTATATACACAAACAATATCACACACATTCTCTCAGCTGTTATGATGACAGATCCAGTATATACACAAACAATATCACACACATTCTCTCAGCTGTTATGATGACAGATCCAGTATATACACAAACAATATCACACACATTCTCTCAGCTGTTATGATGACAGATCCAGTATATACACAAACAATATCACACACATTCTCTCAGCTGTTATGATGACAGATCCAGTATATACACAAACAATATCACACACATTCTCTCAGCTGTTATGATGACAGATCCAGTATATACACAAACAATATCACACACATTCTCTCAGCTGTTATGATGACAGATCCAGTATATACACAAACACTATCACACACATGTTCTCAGCTGTTATGATGACAGATCCAGTATATACACAAACACTATCACACACATGCTCTCAGCTGTTATGATGACAGATCCGGTATATACACAAACAATATCACACACATTCTCTCAGCTGTTATTATGACAGATCCAGTATATACACAAACAATATCACACACATTCTCTCAGCTGTTATGATGACAGATCCAGTATTTACCTCATTCAGGATGTTCATGCTGTCTTGACTTGGATGGTTGACGTTGGGTTCCTTTCGGTGGCGGTTGAAGACTTTGAGGGCATTATCTGTCCAACCATCCATCTGTCTCCTAATCACCATCAGCTGTTCCTGGCCATTGAGAAGTGTGTCTCCACCAAACTTTTCTGACTCCCGGCCAAGCACCTGATAGCACAAGTTATCAAAGGTTATTATAATTAACATCCCCAAAGGTAAATACATCTACTATTGTTTCCAATACAATAAATTAATAAGTGATGTCTTACTGAAAAGCTTACAACAGAACATATTTTTTTGTTAGGTTACTGCTTAACTAAACAATAGCATCCATCTAACATCGTATTATCATCATAGGGAAACTATAGAATTATGTGAAAGATTCA